ATACGTGTTCATCAGAGTGTTAGGGGTAAGTTTAATTGGGTTCATCGTGTCATTTTTGAAACATGTATTAACGCCTGGCAATTAGCGCGACCGCTATTCGGCTCCATGGTGGGTTACGTTATGAGAGGGATGAAAAGAACGTAACAAGAGCTTTTCTATAGATTTTCGATAATCGCGAGAGAATTTATGTATTTTTGTTAAATATAAGAATAAATAATAAGAAAGAAGGATGATGATGGACGAAGGAGAAGCTATTGAAAATATGTTGCTGTTATTTTTTTAAAATACTTTGGTATTGACAATTGTAGTATGAAAAGTATTACTTTTGTTAAGTAGATAAATAAATGTAGAGATATATTATAGAAAAGAAAAAAAAAAGGCTGATGGAAAAGGGAAAAAGTATTGAAAATGTATAAATAAAAATTGTACGATTATCCTTTTATATAAGAAGAAGTATTAAGTTTTCGAAATTAAAAGAGTATTAAATTATTATCATTATGCTATGCAATAATGATATTTTAATTTTCTCCGAAATTATTGTTGCATATTACATTTGTTGAAAATGAAGAATGAAAATAATAATTTTCAAGTGGTTTGCATTTCGAGCAATCCCATCAAATTGAAATATTCCAACGTTATTCCATATTACGTTGATCTTACGATTTACATTTTAAAACGAATTATAAAACGATCATATACAATCGTTAATTTTACTCGAATAAAGGATAACAAACGAATAAATTAATATATTCACACCGATACAATCAATAATTAAGAAGAACAAAAGAATTCCACCACAATTCGTTCAATCTTCTTCCCATCATCTGCACAAATTAAACAAAATTAAACAAATCGAACGTTAAATAATAATCATAAAATAATAATCCTTTTTCATTTTTCTTCGAAACGAAAAAGCAAACAAATTTATTAATACATTCGACCATGAAACAGAAGAACAAAAACTTAACAAAGAACAAAGAAATTCCACCACAATTCGTCCAATTTTTCTCATCGTCGTTTAAACAATTTAAACACGATTGAACAAATATCATAAAATAACAATCCTTTTCCATATCCTTCCCTCCATTTAACATCGAGATGACGAATAAACAAATAAATATTATCAATATATCCATTAACGATATTTCTAAATATTTCGGTCGAAATAATAGTCAAGTGACAAGGAAAAATGAGAATTCACGTGACAGCAATTTTATCAAACATCCTACCCCCAACTCTTTCTCTCTCTCTCTCTCTGTCACGTATCCAATTCGTCGAATTTCCCCTGGTGTTGTCCTCTATAAAACACCGGCGTGTTTCATTCGTTACCACGAAACGAAGCGAGGAATGATGGATTAAAAATCGTATCAGTCTCGTTTTACGTTGACAGAATATAAAGTCATCGCGTTGGATTCCATGAAATCACGGATCTCGATGGGTCAACGATGGGATACAAAGTTATACCTCGACGCGAATAGAGACGTCTTATTGGAGTTATTAAATTCTCGATTCAATATTACAGACGAGTTCGAAGATTCGTTGAAAGTTGGCTAAACTGATTCGTTGAAATCGAGAAGTTTTTAACGATCCATATTTTCCCTCGACAGATCCCCCAACTTATCCCTTATTTTTCGTCTCCACTTCCGGATTTTCTCATTAGAGTTTGGAGAAATATTTTATATTCCGAATATGCAAGAAGTGGAAATTATGCGAGACAATTGACTTCGTTATGGAGAGTATTCCAAATAAATGAAGATGAAATAATATTTTGATTAATTCTAAATTTTTTTAATAACTTGTTTTATCAGTTATCAATATTAATAATTAAATAATAAATTGTCGATCGTTAAGAACCTCCTAATCTATTCTCGTAATTATCACGATTCAGAATATTTCGATATATTTCCAATATTCAATTCTTCGCGATGATCGAGATCCTAATATCGTTACAATCTATAACAATTTTTTTAAATCTAACTTAAAATATATTTCACAACCTATCTACTGTGCTTTCGAGTGTATAAATTTTTTTGTTTCACGGATTTAAACAGCATAAAATTCGCCGATTATCCGGCGGAAAATCAGCAACGAGCATTATCTAGTATACATCGCGAAGAAATGTTGGCCGACCGCCATTAATCGTCCACGCATTTGCATATCGGATGGAGCGATCAAGGCAAAGAACTCGATCGTGTCGAAAGAACGTTGATCGGTCGGAAAATACATCCGTCACGGTTTCGACGCTTGATTTTCCGGGATTACGTAATCTTCGTAATTGTCGTAGACTTTTTCAACAGAGAGAAAAAAAAAAGGATGGAATTTTTCACGAACGGACGAGATACGAGGAGGCACGACGAAGAAGAAATGGATCAGTGATAAATCGAATCAAGAATCTCATGAATTTATTGGTATGTTGCGATAGGAATGATTTATGACTAACGAGTTTTTCATTAACAATAAGATTGATTCGCTTGGGTAATTATTTCGTCTTGGTTGGATATTTCATAGCGAGTGGTGCTTTGTGTTAATTGGTTCCATTGTAATGGAATTGAGATGATCAGAGAAATAAAATGTAGGAAAGGAAAAATAGAATTCGCGGTCTTTGATCATTTGATTCTTTGCCTCTAATTAAAAGTAGTTTAGTCTTTCTTACTTTCTTGGTGAACCAGTATTTCCAAGTTAATTCTTTTTCACCGTCAATAAAAGTAATAATTCATAGGACACAGAGCTGCATACAATAAAATAATATTAACTAATAATAATATAAATATAACTATTTAATATTGTTTTGTGCGTTGATAAATAAATTGTCATATCGCGACATATAATTAATTTTAAAATAACTATTTCTTAAAATATACAAAGATATTTATTAGCAACTGTAGATCAAAGATAGAAGAATGTAGAAGAATTTTTAAGGTTGGCAGCTAATTTCGCTTCTATTCGTTTTTCCACTGCCTGGTAGAAATATCATAAAGACTCGCGCTTTGAAGATAGCAATTTCCATCTTTATGAAACTCCATCGCTCTTCTAAGAACAGAGTACCTGTCAAGTTTCTCGAACTTGATAAAAAGAGATCTCATTTATAAAGTTTAACAAGAAAAGAAGGTCAAAAAGAATCGAGTTTTTGTTATTGTATTTGCTGCTAATGGAGAGACAGCGCGCTAAGAATAATGGATTATCGAGATTTCAAGAAAGTTACAGACGACAATGTCTGTGATGAAAAAAAAAGGGAGACTTTTTTTTACGTAACACGTGATTTGACGTCGCGTCGCGCAGAGATAAAGCGATCAATTTAACGTATTACGTTATTAAGGGAAGATTCCCTCGGTTTTTTATTTTTTCTATTTTTCGCTCCTTCTATCTTTTCATTATTCTCTTGCATACAGATTAGTTCCAGATAATCGCAAAGAAAATTTCATTGAAAAAATTTATACTTCGTGGCATTGACTATTTTCTAATATTTTTATTCTTAGATTTCTTTTTTTAAAATGTAATTAATAAAGGATGTGATTAATAAAGGAATAAATAAATTTATTATGTCACTCTGTCTATCTTTCCTTTGCTAGATGACAAGAAATGAATATCAAATACGATAAATGCAATTTTATCAAACACATCAATCTCTAACGAATTAAATGAAAAAAATAATCGTAAAGAGAGGCAAAGAAGCACGTGATGAAACTTATCAACTGATCCACGTGTATCAAACTCGATATAAGTTTCTCCGTTTCTGTAGAACTGGGTTTATTGCCAATTATTCGAAGAGCCGGATCGGCGAGACGAAAGTCGGCTTGTTTCAAGAATCAGCCCGTGTCATTTTTATAGTATCGCCATAAAAATGCTGCGGAGTCGTAAGTATAATTCGTAAATAATAATATTACGATCATAAATAATAAATAATAATATCTCCATGCGATGTGATATTACGTGTTGTTATTAAAATAACATCCCTTCATTGACCTGGAAAATGTATGGACCTGAAATTTGAAAATTGAATTACATATACGATACGAGAATCAAGTACACAACTTAAAATACTAAATTCATTCGTGATTGCTATATGAAATTGCTTAAAAGCCAAAACAGATTAATCATTTCTAATAATTTCGAATAATTTCACAGTTAAAATGCATAATTAAGTCAAGAACTAAACATTGAAGTTAATCAGTTGGATTTCTTTATGGTTTAAATTGAACCTCTTCAATTGCATATATAATTGATCACAGAAATTAAATTATACCATATAAATTATTGAAAAACCAAACAAACGAACTTTCTAATTTATAACTAACTTAATTACATCAGAATTCAAATGACTGGCTTTAAAGGAATCGATCAGCTTCTATGTGTTTCGTATCTGACATTGATCAAAAAATTATCTCCTTTTCGAACACAAAACACAAATGTTCTATTTCCAATGTTACAAAAATCCACGCCGATTTTCGTTTCATCTCCATTTTCGCGATCGCGATTTAATTTGCGAGAACGTTGGCTATCGTGGATAAAAGATGGATAATTAAGGACGATCCTTAGAAGAGATGAAGAGATCTTAATCGGATTCACCAGAGATATGCATTTCAAATCGTTCGAGTCGACCGAAAGATGCCCGAATCCGAGATTTCGGTAAATCCAATTCTTTTTACAATCGTAGGAGAGCCTAAGAGAGTTCAATTCATCTCTCAGGAACCCCGACGTTTTAAACGTCGAACGTTTTATAGATCTTGCTCGTTTTTCAGAGGCCAACATCAACTTTCCACTCTCTTCTCGAAAGATCTCGCTGACCCGGAAATCGGAACGAATTTCCAAAATAAAAGAAATATCCAGAATAAGCGTACACCCTCTTCATCTTCGATTCAGCTCTCTTTCTCTCTTCGAAACTCCGAGTTTCGAAAGTTCCGCTCGAACAATCTTTTATTTCGTTTTCCGTATCTTCACTTTCAAATATAATAACTTTCGAGTATACTGTATATAACGAAACACACGGATTGTGTTTATATCTGTCGAAATAATTACAAGGTAATATTGTTATTCCTTGGAGTATTTATCACGTCCTGAAACGAGTGTTCGCGATAGATAAATAGAACTCTCGTGTTTTGCCACAGTTCTTAAGGAGCCGCTTTCGAGAGCGTGTCGAACAACACCGCGGTTATATTTCGTTCCTAAAATATTTCTATCATCGGCGAAAAAATAACGACACGGCAGATCGATGGACGGACTTCTCGAATTTATTAGGAATCGAACGCTGACTTATTGGGAATTTTATTGGTTCAATAAGTTGGTTTGCGAGAAAGATGAGGTTAGTAAATAATTTTATTTTGCGAATTGGTTTTGGATTTCGATGATGCATTATAAGATATGCATGAATGAACGAGGTCGGTAATTTTTTTATACGTTTTTGCATATTATTACGTTATTCGTGCAGATTTTTGTAAATTTAAATTTTTCATAAATGAAATGAAATGAAAATCCGTAGTCTAGCGATGAAATATGTCTGCTAACATCATTAATCATAATTCGTTTAATTCGATTGAAAGGTAAAGCATGAATTTTTCAATAAATAATAAGAATAATGTATAATATTATAATAGTTGGTATGATGTATAATATTAGTATTATAGAAATTAACTGATGTGTAAAACACTCGAATTTTTGGTATAAAGATAATGCTCGCGTTACAAATTAAAACGTTTGAAAAAAATCCTTGATGATTACGCGATCGTTAGAATTTATTGAAATTGAAAATAATTATTTATAAATAAAATTTGTTTGTGTTTAATAATTTTCGTGTTTTGTGAAATTTTTTTCTGTCAATTTAATCACAATCTGTGACTAAAAATTTTTGTGTACGAGATTTTGGCTTGCGTTTTGAAAAACTCGGATATAATTAAATTTACGCGACAAAAGAGAGCTACCTTTTTTAATTAATTTCGATATAAATGGAGCGTTATTCTTGTACTTGTTAAATAGTACTTTTTTAATACAATTATGTTACGATTATGTTAAAATTCCATTGTCATAATAAAATATGATCGAAGAATTTATATCAGAATTTAGCATTGTTGTTCTGAACTATCGTTCAAGAATTAAGCTAAAAAGAATAAATTAAAATTATAAAATAGAGTAAGAAATATTCTTAATTTTTATTTATTTAATTTTTATATACCAGTTCCAACCAAATACTGATTGACTATATTACAATTATTCGCATTAAAATATCTAAAACAATCGCAATGCATTAATAATCATACGCATTTATTTCCAGCGAGGAATTGACCTCGGTATATATCCATTTATTATATTCCTCATCGATCGCAATATGCGCGATTTCCGATTACGTTTATTCGTTAAATTGTTAAATCAGAATTTTTATTCGGATTTCCCCGATGTATCATTATATCTCCAGTGTACCGTATTTATCGTATTCATTAACGAGAAACCAGATGAATTTCGAAATTTCAGCGAAAATTCAATCCGATGGAGGTTAATTTTTATATTACAGACAAATCTCTCTCAATATTATATTCATTGCACGTGGAACACATTTAAACGAAATATTATTTTCTCTCTTCGGAAACTATGCAATAGCATCGAGATGAAATTGCACGTATTTCTATCATAACTATCGAAATTTTCCTGAAATTTCGATCTCTATTGATTTGATTTTCAAGGAAGAATATCAGAGATATTCATCTTCTTCTTATGAATAGCTATTACATTTTTATTTTCTCTTAAAACAAGTATAATTCTCCATAGTCAAAATACTTGACGATCGATCGAGGATTTTTAAATTTATACTTTTCAAAGAATAATAGCAGAGATTTTCTTTCTATTTCATCATTTTCTTTCTATGCATAGATTTTACAAATAGATATCGTATTATTTTTTTCGTGAAATAAATTCTACGATCATTAAAATCGATTTGATCAATGCAGATATTAGATATCCATTTTTATTCATCGTATGTGAGTAACAATCAATTAATAACGAAACGATGTTTTTCGTATTGTTTCTCTTATGAGACGCTCGTGTAATCAATCTTGAAAACGAGAAACAATCACGAAGGATGGATAAATGTTCAAACATACATATATAGGAAGTAATAGAAAGGATTTATGCCGTACATATATGTATGTCGAAATGAGATTACACGGAAATATTCGACGAGATACAGATATTGAATTAAACATTTTTGTTATTGTCCGGAGATATGTTGGATCGAGGTCATCTTGAAAATGAAAAACTCATTGGCTGTTTTTACTTTGTTATAAATATATAGTTAACGCTTTCACGGTAGTTGATTTAATATATCGTGCATCAGAGCGAATACGAAACTGTGGGAAAAGTTGTGTCGTTAATATTTAATTGAACTCTTTGGTCCTTGAATTTTAAACGTTTCCTTCGAATTCGTTTCATTCGATTTTCCATTATATCTCTGATATTCTTGCATTCCTTTTTCTCTCCAGTATTATTATTAAACAGAAAATTTGTTCTGAATAAAATCAAATATTCCATTTCTTTTCTAACTTTTGAAATTTCTTATTAACACATTATCTTTTTTGTTATAATATTTTCAAATATATTATTTATTATTAATAAAGAAAATATTTTATGGAATAATTTTATGATATTGATGATGAAAACTTAAATTGAAATTCTTCAAACTTGCTTATTCTAATTTTAATTGTTTAATTCTATTTAAATTATCTATACCATCCGAATTACCTTTTCATTATCGATTTAATGAAGCACTTATTTAAATAGCCATTGTATGTATGTATTTCGTCAGAATGCAAAGAAAATCTGAATTAATCCATTTGAATAGTTGCAATGCATTGTTGTGAAACGATCATGGAGGCAGTATTCCATATTGATAAGATCTTATTAATACATGTGAATGAATGCAAAATCCTTCTCATTGAGTTTATCATTCGTTATCATCATGGCACTGTTCTTTCTTTTTTTCGCTTCCAAATCTCTTTTTTCCTTCTCTTAATGGCAACTGGTCCAACATCTTATTAATGCGATACAGAGCAAAATCGTAGAAAGCATTGTTTGTTACGACGAAACATTTTCTATTGTTGGTTGTTTGATAATCTAGTTCTGTTGAATAGATAAGATTAATCTTGCTATAAAGAAAAGAATTAAAAAAAATAGAGCGAAAACATAATCTTTTTTGGCTTATTAATAATCAGTAATTTAAGATCATTGAAATGATCTAAAATAATGAAATCAACTTCAAGTAAAAGATATTCTAAATTAGATTAAATTTTTATTATATATTTCATAATTCTTAGAAAAAAAAATAACATGTTCTCTCTATATTCCAATAAAAAAATTAAGTGAAAAAAAATAATCGATAATGAAGTTTTTATCAAGTAAGAAAAATACACTTCATGAATATCCTTCCATGATCAATGACTCTTTTTTTCTGTCTCAAAGGAGGAACTGACAAGGAATCTACTTCTGTCAAACGCAGCCCTCGGAAGAAATTTCTTCCTTTTACAATCCTTCCTCCGTGAACAAGTTAAAATATCGTAAATCTTGTTTATACTCGAATGAATTACTTTTGCTAAAATAACATCAAAGCTATGCATGAAAAACCATTTTAAGGCTGGACGTTTTATCAGAAATCATGAATTTTCTAAAGAAAAGTTTTGTACACATGAAGTTATATCTATTTAAAAGTGCAATATATGATAAAATTAAAAGTTTTCAATTCCAGGACTTTCAAATGAAAGCATTGTCGTTTCAATTAAATTTAAAATGTTCCCTATGGTCTGGTCTTATCAGAAAATGCATTACTGCATGTAGGTGACCACGTGTGAGATACATTTTCGAGAAGGAGGACAGATAAGCAAGAAAGATAGAAAAAGATGAAACAAATCAAATTACCCTTGAGATATATACATTTTTGACGTTTTACTTCGCGCTTGCTTTGGGGGATGTACGCTTATTTTATCTTCATGAGCGTGGTTTATAAAAAATTCAACCTCGTATAGTGACGAATAAATATTTAGGATCTCGATTTCCTAATATTTTCTCTATCTGAGTCATTGATTATTCGGACAACTTTTATTTAAAATTTAAAATTAATTGTAAAAAAAAAATATTTTATTACAAATAATATTCTTTACGATATTACGATATTTTTTGATGATAGAATAAATTGTAATAGAATATGGAATCAAAATGAAAGAAATAAAACAGATGAAACTTAATGCATACATTGAATTCAATATAGGGACTCATTATATCTACTTCTCACTTCAATACAAATTTAAACTGGTCCCTAATTTAAAAAATAAAAGTCGATTAATTTTTTTTTTATTTAATGAATATATTAGCATCCGTCTAACGATTTATCAATTATTTTAATTCGATTATCCTCCAAATAATTAGTCCAAATAAAAAGAAGAAAGAATCAAATTATTTGTTTTTTGGTTATTCGAGCATAATATAAATAAATTGTTCGATACATCGCTTATTTCTTATTCAGTGATCGAACTATACCTCGAATACTTACTCAATATCTTCTCGTTCACCTTAATGTACACTTCATTTATGCCTCACCGACGATAATACTGTCGGATGTGATCCTTAATGAGGTCGAAGATCGGCTCGATCGCGACAAAGTGACAGTAGAAGGCCTACCATGGAAATTCACTTGTTTCCTCCTCGAATTCTCGTCGATTATCGATCGCTTGCTTCGATCGTGCTTCGATACGAAATTTTCACGAATGAATACTCCTTTTCCATTCCATCGAGAATTCCCTTAGAATGCTTGTTGTTGTGCCAACTAACGTGATGATACGAGGAAATTCTATTTTAGAGAAGAGAGAAAAAATAGAATGAAAAATGCGAGGTAATAATAATAGAATTAATATTTATCATACTGACCTGCTGAATTCTGCGGATTTTTCTTTCTTTCCAGTAATCTATATCCAGTGATAAAATTAAATTAAAATTAAATATTATTATATTTTATATATCACTAAATTGAAAATGAAATTTTTATATAAAATAACTTACAAAAAACATATCAGATCATAGAACACAATAACTCTGTCCTTCTTCGATATTAATTATTCGAAATTTATTTCTGAATATCAAGCGACGAGGAATATGGAGTAATTAAATCTGTTGGAAAATATACATATCATTTATAGAATCGATATAATATCCCCCATAGATATCCCACGAATCGTTCTTTGATCTTTCGACGAAACTTGGAGATTTCGTCTTTTTATCGTCAAACGAGCGACTCTTTAAAGCGGATATCCCGAGTTTCACAATACCAGTTCCGCTGAAAATAATCGGAATTCGATCATTATAGCAATCAACATCCTTTTTTTCTCGAGATTATCGAGTTCTCGCCTCGTTTCTTCTCGAGAAACGATTCGAAGTTCTAAAGATTGAGGTCTCCTCTTCATTTCTCTTTCCGTTCGCTTGCTAAAAAATTTCTATCCGAAAGTCTGTTTCGAATACAAGATAAAAGATACGAAAAGTTTAGATCGCTTCGCGAATTTCTCTAAAGTGTAAATGTTGAAAGTTTCGTCCATTTTCGTAGTTCCGTTCTCAACTTCCGTTGAGAATTTCCGTTGAGATGTATTAACTTTCGTTTTTTCAACGAAGTTTCTTTTCTTCAGTTTTAATGAAAACATCCGTATCCACTTGTGAATTCGATAAGATTAACGATAATCAAATTAATATTTTGATTGTGCTATTGCAAATGATCCGTTTTATAAAACACGTTAGAGAATTTTTTTTAAAAAGTTTTCATTTTTATTTCGAAATTGTCAAGCTTCGAGGGCCATCGATATATAACGAAAATGAAGATATTGTTTTTTTCCGTGCATGTCGTTTATTCAATTTTTTCATGGCGATCGAATCATTTTTTTTTTTTTTTACATAGAGACGTAGAAAATATAGTAAAAAAATCAATGAATCAATAATTTCGCGGTTCAGTTGTGAGAACTGAACTTAGAACGATGTAGATAATCGCATTATAATCGAAAATTTCATTCGTCGCTGCGAACTTTGTTATCCTTTTAATCGCATTAATGCTGCTTTATTAATCACAAGCTTGATATGGAACTTTTGAAAGCGTTTTATTGGTATATCGTGATGAACTAGATCGATGAAAGTTATTAAATTTGAATGATATATTTTTATAATGGAAATTAGATATCTGACGATCAACCAAAATTTAATATTGTTAAAAATTACTGTTCTCTTTATATATATTTTTAACACTATTTTGAAAATGGAAAAAGAAGGAAAAATTATATTTATTAGAAATTAATTTCAATGGCACAACAAAGCATAAAAACATTTCGAGTTTATATGATTCATGATATAATTTTACTTTTTCTTTATTAAAGATCAAATAAAATCAATTAAAAATTTAAGTAATAATAATATGATTTGAATTAAAGATCTTAGAATTCAATGTTAGATAATGTTGGATAGAATAAAGAATAAAAGCTTGGAGTTTAGAATTCATTAGATTTTGCAAGCACAAACTTCTCAACGATCTTAAGATTTAAATGTGTAATTGTTGGAAGTGAAAGATAAGAAGGAAAAGTTTAAGTTCGAAGACTAAGAGTATTCTTGGTTACCGATAGCTTTGCTTTAAAAATTTAAGAAAAAGAAGAGAAAAAAAATATTGTATAAATTCAAATTTAAAATTCATTAAATATTGAAAAACTTTATATTTTTAATGCTTCTGAATTAATAATGTTTTTTGAAAGCTACAATTGTTAAAATCAAAAAAAAAAAAAAAGAAAAAATAAATCTTTTAAATCCAAATATAGATCCAAGAATTTTTAAATATTAAAAACTTTATTTTTGAAGCAAAAAAAAAAAAAATTCCAGAATCCATAATATAAAAGGTTTTTTAAAATTTAAAGTTATATTTGTTGAAAACAAGGAATACGAATATCCTATAAGTTTAAATATAATATAATATTTTTCGAAAACTCTATATTTGAGATTCTTAGGATTTAAAACTATGATCGAAATAAAGAGATGAAAATATTACAAATAATTTAAGAATGAATAATAAAAATACAGAATTTATTATAGGTATAGAATTATATATGGAAAAAAAAAATTAGAATTTATATATGGTAGAAAATAAAAGAAAAATAATCATGAATGTTATTTAAAATTCAAATATTAAAAAGATTTAGTCTAAAATTTAAATGCAGAATTCAGTAATTCGAAAATGATTAATAGAATTGCAAAAATAATATTAAAATCTCGTTTAAAATATTCAAAGTAGAATATCAAGCCATTAAATGAGAATCGAATGCATTAATTTTATAAGATTTACGGATATCAAATCACGAGACAGTTCATTTGTTATTATTAATTAATTAACACTGAGAGCATGATTTATTGAGCAAAAGTTAAACTCAAAAATATTATTAATCAATTCGTTCGAATTGTCACGTATCGTGATTAAATTATAGATCATTGAAAAAGATTGATTAATAAAAATTTGTTTTCTATATTTTTTATCTGAAATGCTATTAAATCTTTTCATTCATTTTGCTATTCGAATAAAAATTTGTAATAGAATCAGTTTTTTGAAAAACCATTAGTATAAGTTTAATACTTTTGAATTTTATAGTATTGATGATTATAGTTACCCATAATAGTTAATAATAGGTTTACGTTCAATCATTGTCAATCAATATAGAATATAAAGGATTCAAACAACCACGAAGCTGCAGATAGACGATTTAGTCGGAGAGATGCTTTGACGGGAAATCATGGTATTAACGTCAATCCTAGTCTGCAATGTTCCACATTGTTTGAGATATCAAAGTAGTCGAGTCATGCCTGTTGATTAATCATTTCATTACATCGCAATTTTGCCAAACTCAATTAGTTGCAAAGTTAATAAAAAGACACGCTATTGTATAATCAATCAAAAATACGCATAAAATTTTGATAATATGCAAGAACTGTAATGTAACTATAAAAAGATTTTTCAGAATATAAATTTCATTGATTTAAGAAAAGAGAAATATTAAATGATGAAATGAAATTCCTCGAATCAAATAACTGAATTATAGTTGTGGTAGATAATATTATAGCTATTGATTAGAATTGTTCGTAAACAACCTGAGAATAGTTAGAGTTGTTCGCTCGAAACTGAACGTAAGAAAATGAAATTCATACACTGGCTGCAACTTGGTTATCACTTTAGTAGTAATTCATATTCGAAAATTTAGCACAACTATTATATAATAGAGAAGATTTCATTAAAAGTTAAATTTTATAATTTGAAAAATACGAAATGTATACGAAAAATGTTAAATTTTAATAATGGTAAATTTTTCCATACTCTAAAAAATTTAAAATTTAAAATTTCCAACGAATATTTTCTAAAATTTGATAAGTAATTCTTTTCGTAATTTAAAAACTTTTCAATATTAGAACAATTTAAATAATACTTGAACAATTTAACATAACAAAAAATTTTCACGAAAAGAAAGTTACTATAAAAAATTCAATTTATACTATTGAACTCAATCTCATTAAAAAGTTAGAAGAAAAAGCAATAAAGCAATAAATTTTCAAATCTTTATCATTAGTTTGCATTAAAATTGCATATAAATTAATTTCTAAAGGATAAAATGAAATTACCTTTGCTAAATTCGTAGATGAAAAGGGTTTTCAAGGATGATGCGCAATGTATGGTTTATTTATCAGGTCCACATGTAATCTGAGTAACGCAATACGTTGTGCAAAGGGTCGTCTGTAGACTCTCGTCGGAAAATTTATCGAGAAACGAGCTTGTTACATAGCAACACGTGCAACGCTTCTGCAAAGCAGCAGAATTGTTGCAACACAATGCAAAACTTGACAATGATTTTGATGATTCATTCATGGCACGAGTCAAAGAGAAGATAGCAGTAAAGATTCTCTTTGAAATAAATTTGCACTTTCAAATTCGTTAACAAATTAATTTAAAAACGAAATTAAAAACAGGCATCGATAGACTGATCATTTTTGACGAATCGTGTGACGTCATCAGAGAATAATACAAATTTAGCGGAACACTTAAACTTTATTCAAATTTCATGATGCACATATACTTCTTGTATTATTATTTATATTGAAATATGGAATTTATCTTGATTTTGTTTCATATGTCACTGCACAACTAAATTTTGAAATTATTATTGTAGCGATAAAGTGAATAAAACTGTCATGATTGTAGGAACATATGATGAGTGAGATATACATGGAAAACGAACGAATATATGAATCAAGAAATATGATAGGCTTAGCTTAATTTTGTTTCATCTATAATCAAATTTTGACCAATCAAATATCGAAATTATTATTATACAAAAGAAATGTAACCGTTCGTGATTATAGGAACGTATAATGAGTGAGATATACATGAAAGAATAAGCGAGTATATAGTTTGAGAAATATGATATCTAGACTAGATTTAGTTTAATTTTATTTATAATGTGATCAATCAAATTTTGAAATTATTATTATACAAAAGAAATAAAACTATTCATAATTCTAAGAACGTATGATGAGTGAGATATACATAAAAGAACGAACGAGTACGTGAATCGAGAAATATGATAGGCTTAGCTTAATTTTGTTTCATCTATAATCAAATTTCGACCAATCAAATATCGAAATTATTATTATACAAAAGAAATAAAACTATTCATAATTCTAGGAACGTATGATGAGTGAGATATACATGAAAGAATAAGCTAGTATATAGTTTGAGAAATATGATATATAGACTAGATTTAGTTTAATTTTATTTATAATGTGATCAATCAAATTTTGAAATTATTATTATACAAAAGAAATAAAACTATTCATAATTCTAGGAACGTATGATGAGTGAGATATACATAAAAGAACGAACGAGTACGTGAATTGAGAAATATTATAGGCTTAGCTTAATTTTGTTTCATCTATAATCAAATTTCGACCAATCAAATATCGAAATTATTATTCTACAAAAGAAATGTAACCGTTCGTGATTATAGGAACGTATGATGAGTGAGATATACATAAAAGAACGAACGAGTCCGTGAATTGAGAAATATTATAGGCTTAGCTTAATTTTGTTTCATCTATAATCCAATTTCGACCAATCAAATATCGAAATTATTATTATACAAAAGAAATGTAACCGTTCGTGATTATAGGAACGTATGATGAGTGAGATATACATGGAAGAACAAGCGAGTATATGGATTAAGAAATATGATAGGCTAGATTTAGTTTAATTTTATTTATAATGTGATCAATCAAATTTTGAAATTATTATTATACAAAAGAAATAAAACTATTCATAATTCTAGGAATATATGATGAGTGAGATATACATGAAAGAACGAACGAGTATATGAATCGAGAAATATGATAGGCTTAGCTTAATTTTGTTTCATGTATAATGCGACCAATCAAATTTCGAAATTATTATTATACAAAAGAAATATAACCGTTCGTGATTGTAGAAACGTATGATGAGTGAGATATACATAGAAAAACAAACGAATATACGAATTGAGAAATATGATAGGCTAAATTTAGTTTAATTTTGTTTGTAATGCAATCAATCAAATTTCGAAATTATTATTATATAAAAGAAATGTAACTGTTCGTGATTGTAGGAACGTATGATGAGTGAGATATACATGGAAAACGAACGAATATATAAATCGAGAAATATGATAGGTTGAATTTAGTTTAATTTTGTTTGTAAAGCAACCAATCAAATTTTGAAATTATTATTATACAAAAGAAATGTAACCGTTTATGATTATAAAAACGATGAAGAAGATATAGATAGAAGGATATCATGGAAGACAATCAAAAAGTGCGAGTGAGATTAGAAATATTATATTGTAGGATGTAATTGTAATATTAAAGAAAGATTAATGTTAAAATACGACAAATAAACGTAGATTGAGGCAAATATAATTTATTTAACGTTTCATCAATTTAAAATTGATAAAAATTTTATTGGATAACTTCTAATCTTTGAATCGACAATGCATGAGAATAAAGTGTTAAAAATTATTCTAAAATTTATTTAAAATTATTTTAAATTTTATTTCTTTTTATTTTTAATTATTTTGTGAAATTTTAAAAAGTTTAAACAAAAATCAACGTGAATAATTTATGAATAAATATTTTATGTTTTAAATTTGATTATTAAAATCAAAAGTGGAATAATATTAAAAATTCTGCATATTGTAAAATATGCATATTAAAGACTTAAAATATTAAAATACTTAAAATAATTGGGAATATTTTTCCTTTCTTAAAATATCAGTTTAGTGTAAAAGGTGATATTTTTACTGCATAAATTATTTTTAACGGTCATGGAAATTCATTAAATCCAGATTATCCAGGTAGGTACATTGAGAAATGATTAATACGTTTCATCATCGAATTGAAAGTTAAAGTTAAGAAATGAAAATTTTCTCTTAAAGAATAATTTTAATATTAATTCTAATATTAATATTATATTGATAAGATTTATTTCTATCAGCAATGGTCTGTTTCCATTCCATGGTAACTGAGTATGATTAGCACGATTTTGTCCGCATTTTCGCTTTTTCTTTCAATTTAATTAATACATCGAATGAGTTTCTTGCTTAATTACAACGCTAAAGCAATGCATTTTATCTTAGCTGACGGACATTAAAAGGCTCGAAAGCGTGTTTTCAATCTGCTCCCGTCAACTTCCATTTCTCGTCTTGTTTAACTTGCAGATTACCTGGCACCCTGTTATCTTGTAGAAACTTTTATCTGTTATAACTTTTATCGATATATATTCTTATTTATAAGTATTTAGATATTAATTAATTTCGCAAAATTATTAAAAAAAGCTGCTAATCTAACAAAATTTTATATTTATACAAGATAATAATTTAGAACTTTTGGATGAATATTGATAAAAATTAGTTTTAAGAAAATAAAATCATTTTAATTTATTTTGATTTATTTAAGATAAATTGGATAAATAAAAAAGTTAAATTTGATTTTTTTAAATTTATTTCACAAATTAACATATTAATTTAAATATTGGCTGAGAAATATAATGATACAAGTGAATTATTTAATAAAATTTATATTTTAAAAAAGTATAATTTTTTTCGTATCTTTTTATTTAATTTCAGTATTGGATTGATTTTAATTTGGTTTTAATTAGTATATTAAAATAACTTTTATTAAGTAACTTCAAATAATGTGAAATTATAATATAATTCTATTTTCTTTCGATCAGATTATATCGCTTAAATTTTCAATTCTCCATTTATAAATCATAGACAAAGAAAAATATTAACAATTCTCTGAATCAGAAAATAAAATTATGAATAAAATATATATATGAGGAAATAATTTATTTTTAAAATTTTAATTACAAAATTTAATATATGATTTTTATTTAAATAAAAAATTTTCTTAATATAATAATCTTAATAACTTTAATAATATTTAAAAAATTTTTTAATATCAATATTCATAAAAGAAAGTATAGATTTCCAAATAATATAAAATTGGCATAACGAAAGTTCATATCATTCGAAAATAGCAGGAAAATTTATATTATAAAAACAAATAATTCCGCACAAAGACATTTATATAAATCCTTTTATATTTTGATAATTTATTTAATCATATTTATTTTCGAATATATAGGGCACATTTATGATGGAACTCCTCTCTCTCCCCATATCTGTGTTCATGCGATGCGTGGCGTGTGCGTGTATTCGTGGCGTATGTCGTGCAATGCGTGCGCGTGTGTGTGGCGTGTATGCGGCGTGTGTGTGGCGTGTATGCGGCGTGTGTGTGGCGTGTGTGTGACATGTACGTGTGTGTGCGTGTGTATGCATGCTATATGCATGTATGCATATGTATATGCATGTATGTATGCGTCTTTTTCGAGTGGTTAAATAATAATAGCCATTTCTCATGAAATTCGAGCAAAAATAATGTCATAATTTGCTAACAGCCACCAGTCAGAAACGTTTACGCACAAATTATTCATCCATGAATTGTTTGATCAGCATTCGTCGATCGATCGAAGCGTAGAAAATAAACTCTTCGCGGGTAGATTGAATTGGAAAGTTTCAGGTACATTTCGTTGAAATATTATATTACGATCATCGTATAATATATTTTAGAAAAGATTATTCGTTATACAAAAAAATTATATTTAAAATATTTTTAATAAAAAATCTGATCCATCTTCTGTTAGATGTTTTTTAATAATAATGTATTTGTGACTCAAGATTTTGTAGAATGCATATCAATGATAAAACAGCAAAAAAGAGATTTTAAAGGATCTAAAACGTTTTCTATTGTAACGGTCTATTAAAAATGAATTTATTATTTTGGAAAAATCTGGTGAAACGATTTAAAGAACTTATCAAACATATTTATAATTTAGAAATTTTCTTAACAAAAAAAATTTTTTGAAATATTTTCCTTAATTTTACGATTTTCAATCAAATTTGATTAATAAGAGAAGCTTAAATTGAACATCTGCGATCATTAATCGAAATTTTTTGTTTTATTATTTCTTATCCATCTTCATTTTTATTTAAAGAAACTTTGTCTGTATTGCAGCTATCTTGGATTACAGACAGGAAATTTTACTCGAGAATAGATTTTTAAATAAAACTACATATGACGAGAAATAAGATAATAGATAACGACATGGTACTTTTAAAAGTTGTTCTCTCATTCAACTCTTTTTCATGAGTGAAAAAGAACTTTTTTTCATGAGTAAATTTCGTCTCTCGAGTAACTCTCAATCAAGTTTTAACTTCTATACACATGCATTCTCAATTTTTATTTTTGCATATGCATATTCTTTTTTTTTTTTTTTTTTTTTCATTTTTCTCATTTGAGACTGTTATTCCTAAGAGATTTGCGCCAGATGATGAAAAATTAAAAATTCTCTCTATATTCAAATATTCTCACTACATTGAAAATCTTTATTTTTCGAATCATCAATATGCTAATTTTCACTATTTCCTTATTGCTCATTATCTAATCTTCAACAAATATATAATATTATTATACAATATAATATTATATACAATATATATTATATAGACAATTAATTATAGACAATATAGACAAATAAATTAATCCTAATATCGATATTCAATATTAGTTTCTTCTATAATAAAATTTTCGAATATTTCTCATTCGAACTGTAATAATTCAAATCCTTTCATCGCATAATGTCAAAAATCATCGCTTTTCAAACATTTCTCGCGTAAAAATGATCCACAACAAGTGTGTGTCAAATCACATCGACGATTTCAATTTCACAAATACAAACAATATTAAAACGTGTCATCATAGAACGTGTAAAACATCATAGAACTTCTTTATAATCCTTCTTTGTCCATTCGAAACTTTATAAATCGAGGCTTCGATTACAAAAAATCGCACAAACTGCATCGAAACGTGCCATAGTTGGATGCACTTAGGTTATCAATCCGGAGACAAAACCGATTCGAGTTGAATCCACTCGACCAATCACGAGAATCATTTGGCTGCCAATTTTTCGTCGACAAATCTCCATCCACGGCGATGATCGTTCTCCTTTTTCGTTTTATTCCCGGTATTTTCGCTCGCCGGCCAATCCGGATCCCCGTTTCGTTTAGAATTATCGTTATCCGCCTCGAGAGCAGACGTTTTTCAACGTACACACGAGTTTATCTTTCTGTCCGCGTATTTCCAATTTCAATGTTTAAACAAAAACGGTATTCGCGTCTCGTTGTCCAGATAGACGCCCCTTGTTATTTCAGACGCATTCCAGGGGAGGACAAATATCGGCGATTTGTCGTTCGATACGTTTCAACCTGTTTTATTTCTACATTCCGTTTTGTGCGACGCGTAGAATTAATTGTAAGAGAACGAGATAAAATATTCGTAGAATAGACGATACAGCGAGGAATATATAGTACAGGAAATTCAATCGATAGGAGATTAAATTTAATTAAAATTTAAAGTAATTATAATCATTATAGTTATCAATTCAGTGAAGTTTTAATAAAATTTAATTGAACGTGCACTGATTCGCATTTTTATTAAACTTTGAATTGACAATTTGGTGTGTAGATTTGTTGAATGATCGATTTATTGATTCGTACTGAATTGAATATATTGATCTTTGCTTCATTCGTTTGATAATAAGAATATCTATTTGTCTAATTTTACTAATTTGATTAAAAATATTTCAATAATTTAAAAATTTTTAAATAAGAATAGAAATTTAAATTCAAACTTGTTATTCCATATTTTCAATTTATTCCTATTCGAGAAACTGTTTCATTTTTTTGCTTTTGGCGCGATATTTTATATAAAACTCTCAAATTATTGTGAAGCCAGATTTTTCATCCATTGTGTATTTGAAATTTTATTATTCGAAACTTTCACAAATATATTGTGTAGTTTCAAACGATCGATGTTTCATTCATTCAAGCAACAAAATTGCTTTATATTATATCAAGAAACAATAAGAGAAACATAAGTTTCTTCATCAAAAGATCGCACATCTTCGTTAAAGATGCGATTCATCGTGTTGGAAACAGAAATTCTTCAAGAAGAATTTAACGTTTGTTTCGATGCATGTTTCGTTATTGTCACAACGTTGAAATACATCAACGATTCATGAAAATTTCACCAATTTGTGTTTGCTCGACGTAACAATACGAAGTTAGAACGAGAATGTTGGTTACACGTCTTTAAACATCACGTTTGAGACAAGCCCTTTTTCTTCTATTCAAAAGAACCTGACTTCTCGAGAGAATAGTTCAAAGTAAAGAGTACGTTTGTGCCTTTGCGAAAGGAAAGATTTTTGAAAAATTTCTTTCATTTCTCTTACACGACATAACTCGATAAGAATATATCAAGTTTTCTACGCGAAGGAAGTGACAAGTATGATATAATATTTCGTTTACGAAAAAACGTGTAACGATTGAACGAGCTATAAAATGAAAAAATGGAGGATGCAATTTTTTTTTAATCTTATTAATTCGAGATTTTAATTATTCCAAAAATAGCAACTGATTAAAATTTCAGAGTTTGTCATTTTGATTTATACTCCTAATCTATTAATTTTATTTAAATACAAAACCAATAATTTCGAAAAAAAAACCTCTTTTAAATTAAATATACTATTTTTACCTTCATTATACAACGAATACCAATCTAAATTCCATTCGTTTTTCAATATACACTTTCACCATAAATTTCACACACTACAATTTTCGATTAAAACCAAGGAACAAGAATGCCTTGACGGATTTCCCTCATTAATTAACATTCTTCGTCTTCACGATGTCGATGCACGCATTCTTCCTCCCGTTCCCTCGTAAATCCTTCCGCCACGTTTTCTATCATCCCTCCCCCCACCATTGAAAGCGAGAATCGCGTCGCGTTTCCAGAAAAGTTGTTCCATCTCGACACGAAAATTCGACAAATCGTCCCTCGATCGAGATTCGCCGTTCCCTTCAATTTGTCGCGTATAAATTCGTGAAAGTGGAGATTCGCGCCGACGAGAAATTTTTCGGGATCGATCGATCGGCCGCGTGGGCTTCCGATATACCCTCGAGTGACGCATCGACGAGATTCGATCGTCGAGGAGATTCCGGATGCAAGACCGAACGATAAAACCGCGCATCAATCTCGATAGACTTTGAAAAGGATAGACGTTTATGGGAAAGCAGCAGGGGGAAGATCGATGTACGTACGTATGTATGTATGTTTGTATGTATGTATCGCTTTATCAGTATGGATGATGGAGTATATATTATATATTTGTTTAAAAATTCGGAAAGATTAGGTAAAAATTAATTCAATGTTAGTAGCACGTGTGTTGATAATTTTAACAAACGAGAAATGCAATTTGAAATTTATGATTTATTAATTAATAAGAAAATGTGTACAAATAATATAGAAAATATTATTAAAACACACTCGTAAAGTAGAGGAAATCATGTCATTGAATCTCTTTTTTGTTCTACTTCGATATCTTAATTCGTTCGAGGTATAAAGATTCAGTGTGCATAATATGTATTTAACACGGTTTCGTTGGAATCATAAATAAGTCAATAACTCAGTGACCTATATTTTTTCCTCAAAAATACTACTTGTTTTTTCAGGAATCGCGAATTTGTCCAGAATTTGGGATAGGTCAGTGAGACAAGGTGCGAGCGAGAGATCCGAGTAAGCAACAAGGGTAGAGATAGTGAATAGATTAAAAATTACCATTTTCTCTACACGATGATATCTCAAGAACCGGAAGTCGTATCGAGATAAATCAAAAAACACCTTAAAGGGTAAGATTCTGCGTTTCTAATGATTCGTTCGTACGTTGATTAAAAGTCATTATCTTCGAAGTTATAGCGGTTCAAAGATTTCCTAATTTTAATCGAGTTTTGAAACAAATTACGCAACTGCTCGTGTTCAAATCATATAAAAGTGAAAAAAAAAGAAGGTATATATGATACCTTAGATCTATAAAATAGAAGAATTGTTCTTATGTCTGCACGTACGTTTATCTGACATTTATCTTTCGAATGCAGCCAATCGAATCTTCCAACTTCTTCCAAACAGAGTTTCTTCAAAAAGAGATTCCTCGACACGAGGGTATAATCCCAAGTACAAAATCGAGAAAGTTTCGAGCAAAGTTTCGGACGTTGAATTTATATCCAACCGCATAAATCGCAAAGATATTATATTAAAAAAAAAAAAAAAAAATAAAAGAAAAATGGACAACTTCTATCTTAAAGAAGATATATCT